GGGTTTAGTTATGAGGATTTAGGGGGTTTAGGGGTCCAAACATTTTTTAATGTTTAGAATTTTAAGATATAAGATTTTAAAATCTATAATTAGTGGCATTTTTGCAAATGAACATCCCAAAGTGGCATTTTTGCAAATGTGCACATAAGAAGTGACATTTTTGCAATTTTCCCATAGTTTTAAGTGTTTAGGGGGGTTTTAGGGGTCAAAACATTTTTTAGGGTTTAAAATTTTAAGATATAGGCTTTATAAWTCTATAATTAGTGYCATTTTTGTAAATGGACACCCTAAGTGGTATTCTTGTAAATGTGCACACAAAAGTGGCATTTTTGTAATTGCCCCTATTATAATATACATGTAATTTTTTTATAATTTGAATAGATTTAAGTTTAAATATTCAAATTTTCACATTTATTTACATATTTTTATGCTCTCTCCATTCTACGCAATTTAAAAATTTAATAATATTTTTCATAAAACTTTTTTGTTTTGGCTTTTCATCAGAAAAGATAGATTATTATATTTTTCGATATGTGAAATAGAATTGTAACGCCCGTGAACCAAAAGGGGGATTTTTAATGTTGCAGGTGCTGTGCGTCGATCGACGCAGGTGCTGTGCGTCGATCGACACAGTTGTCGGCAGCACTTGTGAGATTCTGGGTGTTGCACCGATCGACGCAGGTGCTATGCGTCGATCGACGCAAGTGTCGGCAGGTTGGCTATTTAAGTCGAACAACAAGTTTTTGGGGGAGAAAAACGTGAATTGAGAGGAATCGAAGGTTTGTTATCGATTTCTTCGTGTTCTTGATCCTAAAGGCTGGTTCTTGTGGTTTGTGAGGCTGTGAGAGCGAGAGAGGATCGTGCAGGGTTGATTTCGGGTTTGGGAGTGGGAAATCAGAGGCTGGACGTTTAGAGTTCACTCGTTCTTCGTGTTCTTCGTTGTTCTCCATAGTTTTTTCTATCCGAAATCGAGGTGAGTGCGTGACCATGGCTTATCTGGGTAAATGATTTGATAGGATGCGATTGATTGTTGTTTGTGGTTGGATTTCATGTTGTATTGGTGGGTTTTATGCGATTGATTGTTGTTTGTGGTTGTATTTCATGTTGTATTAGTGGGTTTTGCGTCGGAGATCGATGGAAACGAGTTTCGGAATCGATCCATGAGAGGATAGGTTCGATTATGATTTCTGCGTTT